TACTTGGCTGTGCCGTCACGCGTAGTAGTTAAGCCTCAGACACAAACAGGATGACCATCAGTATGCCACTTATAACAGGTAACTGCTGAATACAAATCACAAGAATGCCAAGTATACTTATAGAGATATGTTGACTCCTGCCGGCATTTTACTGCCAGTACAACTGTATTACACATGTTATACTACTGTATACATGATTATTAACAATATCGTCCCTTATACCCACAATGTACTTGGTTTACCATGGGGTGTGGTGAATAAAAAAAAAAAAAAAAACTAAATTAATTTGCTTATAATTAAATTATACATCAACGGCCTACAAAATATGAAACGGCTCATATGACCACTGCGACTCGTGCTGCTTCTCCACCCTCGAAGAACAGTTGCCAAGCATTTCCAATATATTTTGCACGTTTACGTGAGCGAGGGCCCTAATCAGCAAAGGTGCCCAATCTTATGTTTATATATTACCTAAATGCTATTTTAACGCGAACGTCTGCTTCATATTTACGCGACAAACTTCTCCATACATATAACTGAAACGTACTATGCTCGTTTTACTTAAATCTCCATGTTACAATATTTTGCTTTTGTTAAAATACATATAAAAACGACCTCTGTCTGCTAGCCCTTGGGCCTGAAAAGTCGTTAACATGCGCAACTTATTCAAGATCGTGCGCCTTTGAGTCGCGCCACCATCGTTGTCTTAAGTGATAATTGTCAGTCGTTGAGTTTTAAAACGATTAAAAAAAATATTTCGGAATGGTGCATCAAGCCGATGAAACTTTTCAGTAGGCGAATTGTTAACCTAAATTAACTCTGAGTAATCCTCTAAGAACGCCTAGAATTAAAGAATCCTTTAAAAGCGATACTCTTTCTAGAATTTAAGCAGACCATATTATGACAGTAGATTTGCATAAATAAATTAAGCCCCTACCTACATGATATTCGTAATAATATACGCGATTGCACGTGTTTGTCATAAAAACAAAATTTAATTTTCGAAATTTTGACGCATTTTTGGGTGCTGACATGACACCCGTGCGCTCGATCCGTGCTAGTCACCCTGCAAAAAGTTCAGCGCATTTCCAATTTAAATTTTGCAAGTTACAGACGGAGTCTAACCACAAAAGTTGCAATTATATTTATTACTTAAAATGCTATATTTTAAACCAAACGACTATTCATTTTATGACAAATTTTATCCATATTAGTAACTGAAACTATCGTTGTCGGTTTATAAAATTATCTGCAATCCTTCTTGCTCATCTAAACTTTATAAATTAAGAAAGCACCCTCGCGTGCTTGTAGCCCTTGCTGAAAAGTCCCATTGCCGCAGATTTTCAGATTAGCTGCGCTTTGGAATGGCCGCCACCGTCGATTGTCAATCAAACTGCAGTCGTTAGTTTTAAAAACATCTTTTCAAATATTTCTAACGGTGCATTGAACAACCATGAAATTTTTAAGTGTAGCGTAAGTTTTATCTAAATCAACTGAAAATAACCCTAGAACCTAGCGAGTGATTATGGTATTCCTTTAATCATATGATTATATGTGCAATTTTGATACGATAGCTCATATAGCCGTTTTCAGAAACATGCGCCTAAAGTGTATATTGCTTATGCTTAAAGGCCGGATAGTAGTACTCTAGGATTTTACTGCGGGTGGGCGTATATGTTTCTCCCATGCCATCGACAGGTCTTGCGCGCGGGACGATCTCAGTGTTACGTCACGGCGACACTGGAACGTCGGCCTATCTCCGGGAAAGCAATACAGAGAAGCATGACAGAAGCTTGTTGCAACTGCATTACACCGCAGCTTGGCTGTGATGGGCTTTACCCTTCACGCACATAACCTTTGGATGGCGAAACCTTTAACCTAACCCTAACCCTAACCAAGATCCGCTAACCCTTAACAGCCTAACCCAACCGTTAACCCCTAACTCTAACCCTTGATGCCTCTAACCCTTAACCCGCTACAACCCTAACTTAGACCCAGTTTAATTACACCGTAATACTAACACTTTTAACACTTTAACACCTAACACACAATAGGTTTTTAAATGGAGTTTAAAGACTAAAAGAACATAGAAAAATGTAAAAAAATTTAAACCAGGCATTGGGAAGGATTTCGAAGCCCACCACCTTTTCAAGAAATAAACGGTCCGGCCGGCCCATTGACCCTGACGTGTGGTGGCTGAAGAGTTATGTAATTGCCCTAGTATCATACATATGCCGGGGCCGGGCCGGCGGCGGACCCGGCGCCGCAGTCTAGCGGTGACCCGCCAGCAACCGCGGCCGTGACGCAGGTGGCGTCGGCGCCGCCGCCGGCTCCCCCGAGATGCCCTGTGTGTGAGCAATCATCACAGTAACGGTTGAGCATAGAATGTTTACCGCCACGCACCGTCGAGTTCCATAAATACGCGTGCGTCATTGGTCTTACTGGTGGTGCACGTCACACTGACGCTTACACTGACGTCACGCCCGAACCTTCGGAATGGCATGCGAAACATATTATCCACGCTTTTTACTGGGGCCATCACAACTTCGATACTGTTACTCGGTTGGACTTAACAAATACGTTCTTCCTGAAAACCCGACACATATGTGGTTCACCAGTGATACTTAATTTAACTTGTAACACTAATTGAATTATACGAATCAACACTACGAAATATTGATAAAGGCCATGCCATTTGTCACACACCCCACAACCTCTTGCTGGTGCCATACGCTCTGATAAAGATTGTCCAATTTGTAATCTTATTTTGCTACACGTTACAAGACCAGATGGGCTGAATCACTCAACAGGGCAATTATTATTATTTATACCCTAAAACGCACTATCATATAACTACGCGAACAGATTGCTTCATTTTTAGTCCGACAAATAATTTATCCATATTTAAGCAGCTCGAGCGAACCATCGGGATTTTGAGACACAACCATCCGCCAAGCCAGCATTCCCTGAATTCTCTCAATGTTGGAATTTCTTTTATTAATTAATTAGATTAATTAAAGCTGGGGAAAAATTTAATTAATTTAATTAAGTGAGAAAAAATTAACTTAAAGTAATTAAATCCTGTTTAATTTTTCAATTAATTTGCGATCCGGATTTAGTGCCCTCTGGAACTTGTACGGTGCAGCGTGGGGGAGGATCTTTACATTTCACGGACGAGAACATTCTTCCTGCCGAGGATTTACATTTTCGGT